GATCAAGGCACTGGCTCAGTCAAAATTGAGGTCCCTGTCTCTGCTTGGTCAGTGCCCAACTGCTACTGACTGCTTTTCTGCATGGCGTGGGGAAGGCAACTAAGATGAGAGGTTTACACCTTGTTCAGGTCGACCTCTTTCTTCAACCTTTCGAGTTGTTCTGTTTCTCCATTGATTGTAAGGCATAGTTGGCCTCTGGACGGCTCTTTTGACAGGGTTGTAGGTTGGTTTCTCCATGTCCCTGCAGCCTCATTTGCTGCCTGCTTCTGGACCCAGCAACAGCACATTGGGAACTGATCTAAGAATGAGCCAGGTAGTGTGTGAAAGATATTGCTCAAGTCCCATAGAGGGCGGTTGGTGCCATCCCTCCTATTCACAGTGGCCAATATGGAAGCTCCTTCCAAACGAGGCTAGCCTTCCTAACCTACTGGGCTCTCCCAGAGTCTGCCTACAAGTCAGTTGATTCATTTTCTAAGCCTGGGTTCAACCGGCCCAGCAAAGGCTAGTTGTGTCACCAAGAGCTGAGGCCCATGCCTGCTGTTGTTTCTGTAGGTGGTTACACCACTTCTCTGAGTGGCTATTGGAACATATGGTAAAAGCTCTTGTTCATGAATCTTTTGGGGCCTTTGAGGAATGATGACTGGTCAGAATGTAGACGCTTATTGTTTCTAAGGGAGTTTCTGAAAACTTGTGGAGAAAATAAACTCCATGTGTTCTTCAGCTAATTAGTTCTTTGAGGATATTTCTGAGGGATTTTTCCCTTTGTCAAAGGCAGGGAAGCCTTGCCTGCTTCTGGCTTTTCATTGACCTGTGGAAGTAAATTCCCTGGCACATTTGCTGCCTTCTGAGGGCCTCTCAGAGGAGTGTGGGGAGAAGCCTGACTGAGCACTTGTCTAGCTTGACTCATCATGACTGAGCAGAAATGCAGGGCTGCGTGAGAAATGTGAGTTACTTCATGAGCTGTCATGCAAAGCAAAGACTGCCCGATAATAGGATATAAACTCAGATAGATATCCTTATTATTGACATGGCAGCCTGGGAACTCATTCTTTTGAACACTGTTTCTACCTTAAAATCACTTTCCTGTGCTTTCACAAAGACTTTCCTAACACCAGGTCTCACCATGAGATGTCCCAGAAAAATTATAAAGTGCCTGAATTTTGAGTTGGAGGGGCCCAGAATAATCTGTCTCCTTGGTTTTTTTTTTTAATGCTTCACAAGAAGCTAGAGGATAGTTGGAGAAGGGTCCTTCTGGTTACAGCAGAAGATGGACCCTCAATGGGGGGGAGAGGTTAAAGAGAAGGAAGGGGTGGGCAACCACCTAACCTTGCAGAGAGGTGGAGCCCAAGAAGTGGTCAATTGTGATGAGTTGGCAGTGAAGAAGGTCATTTCGGTGCCAGCCATGGTGACACCGCATTTTATTTGCCCTACCCAACTCCCATGATAAACAGGTGGTGCTACCCTGTGTGACCCGAGGGCAGGAGCCACCTTAGAATCCTGGAGCAGCAGTAAGGAACACAGCTGGTAGCGCTGACACTGACGGTAACCTCTCATAGTCCACGGAGTGATCTGGGGCCGTAGGACTTGCTTCTCACATCCACTTGACCAGCTGCTGAGTGTGCAATTTAGGTAATGCAGTCCAGGACATCAGAAACTCTCCCACTTCCACTCAGTCCCATGAAACAAATGATGGGGACTCTGCTTTTGGGACATAGTCACAGGGAAGCCAGTCTGTCCTTGGCCGGTGGGGCTGGCCCAGGAGCACCACCAACCAGAGCTGGCCGTGCAGGCCCTCTCCTCTGTCTCCTCGTCTCGTATTCCAGAGCTCCCTGGATCCAGGCATC